GTCCTGGGTTCGAACCCTGGAGGTGGGCGTACACTGATGAACAGCTCCGAAGTAGGGTGAAGCAGCTGCCCAGTGCTCCCAGGTTTTCCAGTGGTTCTCTAACCAATGTCAGCTCATGATGATGAAGTCCTGTAACCGGTGAAATCCCTCCTCCACTAGCTAGATAACCATCGTAGTGTAAACTGCTTACACTATGATGGTAGCTGCTTTAAGTCGAACCCCTATCCCCAAGTTGGGAAGTTGTATCAGCACCAACGGATTGATTGGCGACGAAATCTCAGCACGGATCCAAAAAGCTCGGGCTGCTTTCGCTAACTTACACCGTCTCTGGAGTAGGCGTGACATCCGACTGTCAACCAAGGGACGTGTGTACTGCTTAGCAGTTCACTCCGTCCTTCACTATGGCTCTGAAACATGGCCAATACGAGTTGAAGACATGAAAAGGTTGACTGTTTTTGATCATAGATGTTTACGATCTCTCTCTCTCTCATGTTAGGTGGTATAATAAGGTAAGTAATGTTGATGTTAGGCGTAGAGTGTTGGGCAAAGAGGGGAAATCAATCGACGAGTCTACAGAGTTATGCAGATTGAGATGCCTAGGTCACGTGCTGCGCATGCCACCGCCTCCCCCTCCCGACGGGCATTACTAGCTGATATAGGTGCAGGTTGGAAAAGAGTAAGTGGTGGCCAAACAAAAACATGGCCTCATCAATCCATGAAATCCTTGACAGTTAAACTGAGTCAGGTAGGAAGGGAGATGCAGACTTCCGGGTTGGGGTCTTCGGGACTCTAAGAATCAATGGCTGGAGACAATAGGTGACATGGCTCAAAATCGTTGTCAATGGCTTACGCAGATGTATTCAGTCTCTGTAATCTTTCATATTCCTTTCTGTCTGTCTGTCTGTTTTCGACATAGAACTTTGCACATATGTGCGGCAGTTCAAGTCGCCACAATCCATGTAGCACGCAAAGCAAGAGAAGGAAGTAGAAGAAATGCAAAATATAGACAGTAAACAGAGGTGTGAGACAAAGGAATAGTAATAACGGAGAACAAAACAGTTTAACTGGAAATGATAAGTCACAAGGAGTGGATGCATCTGCGCCACTGAGAACGATTTTGAGCCATGTCACCAATTGTTTCCAACCATTGGTTTTTACCATCCCGAGGGCCCCAACCAGGAAGTCTACATCTTCCTACGTGGCTTAGATTAACTGTTGTGGATTTCATTGAATGGTGCCATGTTTTGGTTTGACCGCCGCTAGCTCTTTTCCAGCCTGACCCTATATCAGCTAACATTGCCCGTCGAGGAAGGCGATGACTAGGCATACGTAGCACATGTCCTAACCATCTCAGTCGATGCAATTTCACAGTCTCGTCGATTGATTTCCCCGCCTTACCTAGCACTCGACGCCTAACCTCAATATTGCTCACCTTATTATTCCACTTCACGCGGGAGATAGAACGCAGACACCTATGATCGAAGACAGCTAATCTTTTCATGTCTTCTGCTCTCAATGGCCAGGTCTCACAGCCATAAAGGAGGACGGAGCGGACTGTTGAGCAGTACACACGCCCTTTGGTCGATAGTCGGATATCGCGTCTACGCCAGAGACGGCGAAAACTGGCGAATGTGGACCTAGCCCTCTGTATTCGTGCTGAAATTTCGTCGGAGATCAACCCGTTTGGGCTGATGGTACTTCCCAAGTAAGTGAAGCGGTCAACATGTTCTACCACTTCACTTCCTATTTCTAATCTAGGGGTCGATGAAGTCCAATCCTGCAGCATCATCTTACATTTTATAGGGGCGAATCGCATGCCAAACATGCGGAGGTTGTTGCTCAGGGTGTTCAGTAGACTCTGCATTTTGTCAGAGTCCTCGCCTAGAAGGACTATATCGTCCGCATATTCTAAGTCAACGAGATTCTTCCCTGGTAGCAAGTCAATCCCTGAGTCGCTGAAGTGAGTTAGGGTTAAGTCCATTAGTACATCTATGATGAAATTGAATAGGAATGGGGATAATGGGCATCCTTGACGGACGCCACTAGTCGTCACCACTTCAGATGACAACTCGCCATAAGCCCTCACCTGGCTGCATGAGTACGAGTAGAGTGCCTTAATCAGTGCAATGTATTTTCTTGGCATTCCCTTTACAGCCAAGCATCGCCAGAGAACCTCCCGGTCGACGGAATCGAATGCCGCCTTTAGGTCAAGAAATATAATGATTGTCGGACGCCGGTAGGAATGCCTATGTTCTAGAATCTGTCGAAGGGTGAAGATGTGATCAATACACCCTCTACCTGGCCTAAAACCTGCCTGGTTTTCTCGTGTTTGTGTCTCCCGAGCACCACTTAATCTACGCAGTATTATTGAGCCTAGGATTTTAGATACTATATTAGTCAAGCTAATCCCTCTGTGATTATCACAAGACGACTTGTCCCCCTTCTTGTATATCGGGATGATCAGTGACTTACACCACCCCGATGGGACTTCCTCTGATTCCCAGACGCTGCCTAGAACCTCCGTTAACGCAGACAGTAAACTGTCGCCTCCGTACTTAAATACCTCTGGAGTCAATAAATCAGGTCCCGCTGCTTTGCCTTGCTTCAGATTGGTGACAGCTTTAGTAACCTCAGTTAAGGACGGAGGACCTGTGTCTATCTCCCATTCAGGGAGGTGTTGGATGTCCGGTAGGTTAAGTGTGGCTGTGGGCCAATTAAACTGCTCCTCATAGTGTTCTTTCCAGCGCTCCAGACGTCTATCCTGGGAGCTGATTATGGTGCCATTTTTCTCGGAGATTGTTTCGCTTATCATTTGTTTTTTACCACCTGTTTCCCTGATAAGCCTGAATAGTTGTCTGGTGTTGCCTATCGCCGATGCTTTTTCCATCTCTTTCGCCTTTGTCAACCACCATTGTTCACGGTCCTTGCGGAGACTTTTCGTAAGTTTCCTCTTGTGCAGCTTTCGCTCCTCATTGAATTCGGAGCTCGCCGGAATAAGTCTTCTAGCATCTATCAGTTCGGATGAGGCAGTCGAAATCCAATGGTTTTTACTCACCTTTGGATTTACCTTATTCACAGCTTTTACAGCTGTGTCTATGGCTGACTGAATATTCTTCCAGGCTTCTTCAGGGTGAGCGCAGCTGTCAAACTCAGATATGTGTTTAGCTAGTTCTTCCTCAAATAGGGACTTAGTTCCCTGGTCGAGCTGGGGACGTGATGGATTTACCGCCAGCTGTTTCCTACGTCCGTTCAGTCGTAAGCACACACGAGCGCGGACCAGTGCGTGATCGGTATCTACACACGTGTTCCAGAAGGAGCGACAATCTCCTACCGACCCACGCCAACGATAGCTTATTGCTATGTGGTCTATTTGTGTCCAGCGTTGATTTGATGATGGTGGTCGCCACGTCAAACAGTGTCTCTCCTTGTGTTTGAAGTTAGTGCTTACAAGATACAAATGATTATCTGAACAGAACTGTAGGAGACGGTCACCGTTGTCGGTTCGCTGGCATGGAATTCCGTATGTGCCACCAACATTCTTCTCAGATTGACACAATTTCCCTACTTGAGCATTAAAGTCACCAGCTAAAACGACTATATCTGAGCGTCTAGCCTTTCGCAGCAAACTGGACAGCTTTTGGTAGAACTCATCCTTCGTTTCATCCGAACTGCAGTCAGTGGGGGCGTAGGCGGAGATTACGAAAAGGCATCGGCGAGTAGTGCAGTCCTTTCTCCTTTTCACTGATCCGTTCAGGCGGACAGCGCACATTCGGCTATCTACCGGGATCCAGTCAAGTAATGTCTTTTCTGCTCTAGTACTTAAAGCTATCCCAACACCAGCTAATCCTCGTGAGCTAGCCGTCGCATCTCCTGACACCCTCAAGGTGAATTTTGCAGATTCATCCTGTTGGCCAGGTGGGGTTAGGTGAATAACCACACTTGGGTCTTGTATGCGTGTTTCTGAAACACAACATACATCAATGGCTCGGGATGCCAGAGTCTTGGCTAGTGATGCCTGTTGTCCTATTTGGCAAAGTGTCCTAACATTAAATGCTCCTATATAAAATTGGTGGCGTGGCTTTAGGAGACCATCAGTGGTGGCTTTTTGGCTTCCATCGTTATCAGTGCACACAGAGTGAAGGGGAAGTGAAGAGCCAACAAGTAGAGGAGTTGCATTAGTAGAAGGAAGGCAAGATAATAGAGTTGAAGATGAAGACAAAGATGAGCGAGGGTTAGAGGGGTTTCGCGTGCACTTCGGATTGTGAGGGCGATTGTTACTTCCCGGCTGCCCACACCGTGGAAGTTGGTTGCGTGACCGCAGAGCCCAGGGGACAACTGCTTGAGGCCGGTCACACACGGCCTGTTTTTGTTTGTTCTTTTTTATTTGGTGTGTCTCAGTAGCGTATTTATCACTTCTGCCCTGTGACACGGCAGCAGAAAGCGCGGTCGTTGTTAATCCGGGCCCCGACCGATCCGGCATGATATTTTGTGATTTATTTGAAGTCATAGGATTGAATTGGGTAACTGCTTTTAGTCTAACTGCTATCCAAACAACCTTTCTGGCATGGTAGGACCTGCAGGAACATAAGTTCCAGCCAGTATAGCTTGTTGGGTCATTGCAGTGTTCAAGCCCGACCACCACGTCAAGGTAGCAGCTATCGGTCGGGATATTCCTTTCTACCACTACACATTCTGTTTCACTCTTATACTTGTCAAAACTCTATTGATTCTCTTCACTCATTTTCTTGTCTACCGTTGTGTGCTATTTGGAACGTGGCAACTCGAACTGTTGCACTTCGGTGCCAAGTTCTATGTTGAATCCAGACAGAGACAGACAGACACTATCCCCAAGCGATCTTTCTGCAATCATAAGACCTGCAGAAACATTTACCCCAAACAGTATAACTCATTGGATTATTGAGGTATGTCAAGTTAACAGATCTTTGGGAAGAAAAGGATAATTTTGAAGAAAAATAATAATAATAATAAATGAAGCTTACCTGTACTAAACCATATTTAATTTCAATATCTGATAAAGAGAATTCCATAGATTCATTCTGTTGTTGTCCAGTGTTGATAAATTCTTTCGACAATACACTATTCAGTGAAGTGAACAATGGTTCTGATGCATAGGCTAAACTTTCACGTGATTCTTCCAGTGGTTGAAGTACAGATAGTATTTTTGGATGTTTAATTCGTGTCAGAGTTGCTACACCATGTTTAAGTATTTCTATCATAGAATCACGTTGTGTTTTTGGATAAGATTCTAACAATTTCTTCTCCATAATCCATATAGTAGCTTCCTATAATAATAACAATGATAGCATAAAAAGATTTTAAATGACTCCATCTCGAGAAAACTACTTTATTTTTTTAAAATATTCCTTTATGTTCCCAGTGGGGCGAAGTACAAGAATAGAGTCCCAGGAGTGCGAACGCTCAAATGACCTTGAACGCTTGCCAGTCGTTGGTTGAGGAAACTTACCATTATTCTACGGTGAAAATGAACGCTGTTCATGAGTTCAGATGAAAATTTCATCCAGATCGCGTTTTCCATTACTGCTTAGATAATGGATTGATAGGACGTACTCGGATATGTAGTTGTGGTGCTTCCATGAACCTCCAGTCGTATACCCAGGTCACTGACGGATATGTATTCAGATGTACACAGTGTAGGAAGCGAATAAGTGTGCGTACTGGTAAGTGACACTCGGTTAATTGTCTTCTAGGAACTTTCTTTGAAAAGTCGAAACTGTCTTTGACCAATATCCTGTTTCTGTGCCATAACTGGGTTTTAAAGTTCGGGGTGCGATCAACTGCGGCTCAAACAGATAATACGTTGACGTCTACTGTACAGTGGTTCCAATTTGTCGAGATTTAGCCTCTTGGAAAATGAATAGAATTACTCAGGTGTTGGGAGGAGTCGGTGTGGTCGTCCATATCGATGAAACCGTTCTTATAAAGAAGAAGTACAATCGGGGGCGTGCTAGAGCAAATAACGTTTGGGTTCTGGGAATTTATGACACCCAGATTCGCAAAGGATTTATCGAGCTGATTCCAGATAGGAGTGCTGATACACTCCTTCCTATTATTCAGCGGCTCGTCTTACCAGGCGCCACCATTGACACAGATGAATGGGCAGGATACAACCAATTACCGCAACTAGGATATATACATCATCGCGTCAACCATTCGGATGACTTCGTCGACCCCAGGACCGGTGCTCATACCAATTCAATCGAAGATTTCTGGGGAAGACTAAAAAATAGAATCAGAGCTATCAACGGATCTCAAAACCAAGTTGTTTTCAGTCATCTGGATGAATATATGTATAGAAATTGGTTTGATTTAAAGGCTGAAACCCCTCATTAGAATTGGGAGATATTTTTTATCTCATTTTAGACAAAAATACCCTGTTTAATGTTTTTTTTCATGCTTTTTTATGTAAATATACGTAAAATTTTATGCAAAATTCTCATTTTTCCTGATTGGTCGACTCAAGGTCACTCGTGCGTTCGCATCCCTTGGGACTTTATTGTAGAACTTTGCCCCCAGTGGAACATAGAGATTCAAGCTACAGACTTGAAGTTTCGGTAGTAGTGGTGATTATTTTTACAGGATGTCCAACCTTCTCTCTTTACCAGTCTTACTACTGATTCAGCGAGGTAAAGGAGTGCGCCGGTGGCCAGGGATCGAACCCCGGACTACATGAGGCGCGGTTGGCCAGCATTCTGCCTCTGTGCCACCGACGCACACAGAAAAAATTACTTGGAATCAATCTGTTGTTCAACAGTCTATTGACTGGAGAATGAAATTGCCTGGATTTCTGGTGATAGGTCGTGACCAGCGAAGTTCATCAACTCAGGTCGATGACATTAGCTGGCCGTGACGCTATAAATCATTAGTTAACATATACTGGAATTGACAAACGGTTGGATTCCGTCCTATTAGCTGAATGGCCAATGTACACACCTTAAGGTCCTGGGTTCGATCCCTGCCAGGGCCGCGGCGCATATTCACTGAAGAGTCCCAAACTAGGGCGAGACAACTGTTAAATACTCTCTACTAATTTTGAATGATTCTCTTACTCAATAATGAAGTTAGTTCGTAGTCTAACTTGAGATTATAAGTTGATAGGAAAAAATGACAACAACATAAGGACATAAAATGCGTATCGAATAAAGTATCTTCGTGTTTTATGTGAAGTTGTACGAAGGTAAAGTCTTTTGTCATAATTATTTCATGTCCTATCTAAGGAGGTGTGTCAAGAGAAAGTTGTGGATAAAAAGGGTACGGAGAGTCCGATACACTAACGTTTGCCAATTTCTTGCATGAGTTCAAATGCCTATTAATTATGATATTAATAATTCTACCTACTCACCTACTCTCTATAGACAGTTTTTAAATTTCTCTACAATGTAATAAAAATCTCTTTTTAAGTAATCTAGGAGAGAATAATTGGGGCGGGGGACAATAATGAATAAACTTCCCAGCTTTGAACATTGTGCAAACATTCCATGTCCCTAAACTTAACTTTTGCTTCCAATGAAAGAAAACACAGGTCCTCTATATGGGTCAGAGATATGGCGCTTCACCAAGAGCATTACCAACTGACTGCTGCAGATTCCATATTAGTTTGTTTATTAGATGTATCACACAGTGTGAAACAGTACTATTATTTACTGGATGACGTTTCGAACACAATTTATTGCTGTTCATAATCATATCATCAGTTATAATCACACGAATTCGAAACTTGAGTTTTATAGTCTTCTTTGTTCTCTCCTATTTGTCGTTAGAGTTGTAGAATTTTTCAGATATCTGGGTGGACAGGTGTTCAATCATTCCTATTACAAGTGTTCACAGTTGATCCGATAAACAAAGCTTCTGTTATCAATCTCTCCTTCCACCTTGCTGTCACATTAGATTTTAAAACTGTCATCTTATCCCATCTTATTGTGTGTTTGTGTGTAATTGCATGCAGTCAGTGCGCTATAGCTGAACTATTCCCCAGATTTCTCACCTTATTCGGGTCAACTAATCCAGATTTTGCTGCTGGGTTTTTATGCTCGGCCAGTCTGACTGCCCCTGTTCTACTAGTTTGACCTATGTATTTGACTTGACAATCATCGCTGGCAGGGTATTAAATAAACGCAATTGTTTTGTTTTAAAGGCTTCAACGGCAGGATCCTTTAACCGACAAAGCTTGTTCCTAATTAAGTTTGTGGGTGGTTTGAATGTCAGCCTCTTTTAATCCTGCCTTGTTAAGAATTCTGCGTGAGGTTCCTGAGGTTCCTTCCTTGTATGGAATTACTACTGATGATTTAGATTCCTTATTGTTGGTGTTGTCTTGCGCATATTTGACTTGCATGTCGTCATTATTATTATTATTATTACTATCACTGCTATCATTATTTATTTTATTTTTACATTTCCCTACATACTTTCTGACTAATTTATCAGGGTAATTATTAAGTTTCAAGGCTTCTCTTATATGTCTCACTTCATGTCTTAGATTTTCCTTGGTACTAATTAGTTTTTGTGCTCTATTACTTCAACATTTCACCAATCCTGTTTTCATTGACATAGGATGGGATGATCGGAAATCCAAATATCTGTTTGAGTGTGTGGGTTTCCTGTAAACAGTAATGTGTTTAATATCCCATTTTCTTTCCTATTTTACATCACAATCCAACATTGGGAGCTTCCCTTCCTGACTTTCCAATTCATAAGTGAATTGAACTGGCCTCCACCTTTGAGTTAATGTGTTCGAAAAATCTATCTATCTATATCCTGTGTTCTAAGTACAGTGAATGTGTCATCTACACATACCTCCACCATACTTCGATGTGGGGTGGGGCTGAACATTCGAATCACTAACTTCTCCCATCTATTCATGAATATATCTACTACAACCGGGGATATTGGTGACCCCATGGCAATTCCTTCAGTTTGTTTGTATATTTTCCCCTGGAATTTAAATACTGTGGAAGTCAGGCATAGCTACACTCCCAGCATTATGTCCCAAGTTTTACACATATGTTTATATGGCTACTGTAGATCTTTATCAACAGCTGCCACCTTCGCTGGCTGACTCCATATTGAAGGTCAAATAGCCGGAAAGAATCAGTAACAAAAGACTCTGGCAGGCAACGAACCAACCAAGAACCTATTGTTCAACAAAAATATATCGAAGAAAATGGAGATAGGTAGGACATACGCTGAGAAGATAGTCCAGGGGCATCGTGTACCAGGCCCACGAGTGGAACCTGAATGGGAAATGACGAGTTGTGCGTCAAAGGGTGACACACAGGGGAGATCGTATGAGGAGCAGGAGATGAAAGCTTATGGACAATTGTGCAGCCAACTAAAGAAGACTGCAGACGACAGGATAAAATGGAGGAGATATCGAGCACGTGTATATGGATCAGTGACAGAACACTTAGTCAATTCAGGACATTCAGCACCATTCGAGAAATCCTTCAAAATAATATACAAGATTCGATCAAATCTATCAAAGGGAGTGAAATTAAGACATCTGCGCATAGCCGAGGCACTAGCTATCCAAAAGCTCAAACCCACGCTTTGTATCCAAAAGAAATACGTCCAACCCTTGTCCCTGCCATGGCCATCATAAACAGGTAATTCTTTTAGTAATGACCATCCCATTGCCTTTCTTATCCGAACTTCCTGTTTATTTTGTCATTTTATTATTTCTACATATTTAATCCCTGATTGCATAAACAATTATTCGTCACATTAGTTATGATCCCACTAGATTTTCTTATCCAAACATCCTGTCTATTTTTGTTATTTCTACATTTCTAACCCCTAATTGCACAATCAATGTCAATCTTCTCAGTAATTATGATGCTACTTTGTTTGAGTTTTATCCGTCCCCCTGTTTATTATGGCATTTTAATTCCTAATTGTAATTTTATTAATTTGACCCTTAACCGGAAATTATTCTGGAACTTTCCCATCCATTTGTTATAAATACACGAATGTACAGCCTGTCTAGTTGATGACTTCGTCGAAAAGAAAATTTTCTTCGCTGCAACCATCTTTTTAATAATTCCTTTGATCCAATGTGTATATTCCGTGAAATGGGGATGTGTTGTTGAGGACCTATGTTCCATTCGCAACTTAAGGGAATTATATATATATATATATATATATATAGTGCGTCGGTGGCACAGCGGTTAGGACGCTCGCCGACCATGCACATGGTCCGGGGTTCGATCCCCGGCCATCGACGCACTCCTTTACCTAGCTAAGCCAGAAATAAAACTGGTGAAGAGGAAAGGTTGGGCATGAGGCTAACAACCCCATCCTGTAAAAATAAACACCACCACTACCGAAACTTCAAGCTGGCTCTAGCTTGAAGCCCTATGTTCCACTGGGAACGGAAAGGAATAATATGAATGTATGAGCATCACTCACATGTTGAGTTGACCGCTTTTTAGCTGAATACAACTTCCATAGTAAACCAGGACCAGCTTGACCAATTTGTTTTTCAATTTCATATTCTCGAGTTAATGGATTACCAGGTAGAGCACTTGAAACTTTTGTTTTTAATTTGTTGAATACAGCATCCATCTGTGTACAAAAATAAATAATAATAATAATAAGTAACAAAATGTTCACACTTGTTTCCATCTCGCAAACATGATTGTAGAAATTGTTTTTCATTTTTTAAAACAATAACATCAAAAAGACACAATGTAGCACATATTAACATACGTGTAAAACTTGGACACTGTGGTAGTAAGTAATTCCATATTAGTTTGTTTATTAGATGTATCACACACAGTGAAACAGTATTATTTACTGGATGACGTTTCGAACAAAATTTATCGTGGTTCATAATCATATTAATTATAATCACACTACTTCGAAACTTGAGTTTTATAGTTTTCTTTATTCTTTCCTATTTGTCGTCGTAGGGGTAGTAGAATTTTCTAGATATCTGGGACAGGTGTTGAATCATTCCTATTACACGTATTCTCTCTCAGTTGATTCGATAAACAAAGCTTCTGTTATCAATCTCTCCCTATACCCTGTGACATTAGATTTTAAAACTGTCATCCTATCCCATCCTATTGTATGGTTGTGTGTAATTGCATGTAGTGAGTGCTATAGCTGAACTATTCTCTAGATTTCTTATCTCATTCGGGTCAACTAATCTAGATTTTGCTGCTAGGTTTTTATGTTCGGCTAGTCTGACTGCACCTGTTCTACTACTTTGACCTATGTATTTGGCTTGACAGCAGGGTATTAGATAAACTAAATTGTTTTGTTTTAAAGGCTCCACAGGATCCTTTAACCGACAAAGCTTGTTTCTAATTGAATTTGTGAGTGATTTGAATGCCAGTCACTTTTATTCCTGCCTTGTTAAGAATTCTGTGTAAGGTTTCCGAGGTTTCTTCTTTGTATGGAATTACTACTGATGATTTAGATTCCTTATTGTTGGTGTCGTCATTAATATTATTATGATTATTATCATTATATTATTATCATTATTATTGCTATTATTATTATCATTATTATTGTTATTATTATTATTATCACTATCGCTACTATCATCATTTATTTTATTTTTACATTTCCTTACATATTAAATACATGTTATTATACATTATTATTATACATATTACATATATAAAACTCAAGTTTCAAAGTCGTGTGATTACAATTGATATGATTATGAACAGCAATAAATTTTGTTCGAAACGTCATCCAGTAAATAATACTGTTTCATCACTGTGTGATATATCTAATAAACAAACTAATATGGAACAATGTAGCACAATCGCGTTTTTTGTTAAGATAAACATGTGAAATAAGTCAAGCTAAAACTTGGGATCCATCTATGAAATCGTTGACAGTTACTGTGAGCTAGCCACGTAGTGGATGGGTGTCTTCGGGATTCTAGGAGCCAATGTCTGGATACGATTGGTGATGTGGCTTGAAATCGTTGTTAATAGCGAAACGAGTATCTCACATCGACAGCAGGACTTCCCCTGAGTGGGGTAGCCTGGCACAACACACAGTTAGCTGTAGACACAGCTGAAAAAGCTGTTAATAACCTGACATCTAAAGTTAGTAAGAGCCAGTGGATTTCTACCGTCTCATCAGAACTGATTGACGCAAGAAGACTGATTCCGGCGAGCTCCGATTATGATGAGGAGCGAAAGCTACTCAAACGCAAACTAACAAGAAGCCTTCGTAACGACCGTGAACAGTGGTGGGTGACAAAAGCGAAAGAGATGGAAAAGGCATCGGCGATTGGTAACACCAGACAACTATTTAGACTTATCAGGGAAACAGGTGGTAAAAGGCGAATGATAAGTGAAACAATCTCTGAGGAGAATGGCCACCATAATTAGCTGTCAGGATAGACGACTAGGACGCTGGAAAGAACACTTTGAGGAGCAGTTTAATTGGCCTACAGCCACGCTCAACTTACCGAACATCCAACGCCTACCTGAATGGGATATAGACACAGGTCCTCCGTCCCTAACTGAGGTTACTAAGGCTGTCACTAGTCTGAAACGAGGTAAAGCAACAGGACCTGATGGAATGGCTCCAGAGGTGTTTAAGGATGGCGGAGACAGTTTACTGTCTGCGTTAAATAAGGTATTAGAGGAAGTCCCGTCGGTGTAAGTCATTGATTATCCCGATATACAAGAAGAGAGACAAGTCTTCCTGTGATAATCACAGGGGGATTAGCTTGATTAATTTGGTATCTAAAGTTATAGGCTCAATAATCATGTGTAGACTAAGTGGTTCACGGGAGGAACAAACACGAGAGAACCAGATCGGCTTTAGATTAGGAAGAGGGTATATTGATCATATCTTCACCCTTCAACAGATTCTGGAACATAGACATACTTACCGTCGGCGTCCAACAATCGTTATATTTCTTGACCTAAAGGAGGCATTCGATTCCGTCGACCGAGAGGTACTATAGCGATGTTTGTCTGTGAAGGGAATGACGAGGAAATACATTGCACCGATAAAGGCACTCTAGTCGAGCTCATGTAGCCAGCCACGCGAGAGCCTATGGCGAGTTGTCATCCGAAGTGGTGGCAACTAGTGGTGTCCGACAAGAATGCCTACAATCCCCATTTCTATTCAATTTCATCATAGATGTACTAATGGAATTAACCTTAACTCACTTCAGCGTTTCAGGGATTGACTTGTTACAATCAGGGAATAATCTGGTTGATTATATGCAGGCGAGGACGCTGACAAAATACAGCAGAGTCTTCTGAACACCTTGAGCTGCAATCTTCGAATGTTTGGCATGCGATTCGCTCTAGCTGTCAAATGTAAGGTGATGCTATAGGACTGGACTACATTGACTCCTAGCTTAAACATAGACAGGAGTGAAGTGGTTGGTGGAGCGCGTTGACCACTTCACTTATTTGGGAAGTTGCGGAAGCCAGCCAGCCCCAACGGGTTGATCGTTGACGAAATCTCAGCACGGATACAGAAGGCTCATTTCATATATGCCAGTTTACGCCGTCTCTGGTGTAGACGTGATATCCGGCTGGTTGGCTGTCGACCAAAGGGCGTGTGTACTGATCAGCAGTCCGCTCTGTCCTCCCTTATGGTTGGCTGTGAGATCTGGTCATTGAGAGTGGGAGATATGAAAAGGCCGATTAGCTGTCTTTGATTATAGGTGTCTGAGTTCTATCTCCCGTGTTAGGTGGTAGGTGTAATAGGGTGAGCAATATTGAAGTTAGGCATCGGTAGAGTGCTAGGTTGGTGGGAGGGGAAATCAATAAACAAGGCTGTGAAGCTACTGCATCGATTGAGATGGTTAGGACATGTGTTACGTATGCCTAGCCATCGCCACCCTCGAGGGCAATGTTAGCCGACTGACATAGGATTGATCAGGTTGGAAAAGAGAGTGCTAGTGGTGGTCAAGCCAAAACATGTCTCCCTCGGTCAATGAAATCGACAACAGTTAGTTTAAGTCACGTGGGAAAGTGTAGACTTCCTGATAGGTGGGATCCTCGGGAAGGTAAAAACCAATGAAGGCTGAAGACAATTGATGATATAGCTCAATGGTGGGCACAGATGCATCCACTCCTTGTGACATAATATCCAATAAAACTATACGGTTCCTCCATATTACTATTCTTTTTGCCTCATATCTCTATTTACTGTCTCTGTTTTGCATTTCTTTTTACTTTCTTCTCTTGCTTTGTGTGCTAAGTGAAGTGTGGTGACTCGAGCTGCTGCACATCGGTGCAAAGTTCTACGTTGAAACCAATCAGTCAGTCAGTCACATTTGAGACTCAGTTGGTCGATGCGTCGGTGGTACGGCGGTAGAATACTCGCCAACCATGCCTCATGTGTTCCGGGGTTCGATCCTCGGCCACCGACGCACTCCTTCACTTCGCTAAGCCAGTAATAAGACTGGTAAAGAAGGAAGGTCAGACATGAAGCTAACAATCCCATCCCGTAAAAATAAACACCACTGCTACCGAAACTTCAAGCCTCTAGCTTGAAGCCCTATGTTCCAATGGGAACGTAAAGGAATATAAGAAAAAGTTACTCAGAATAAATCTTTAGTGTATCAAGCTATGGGTTACACACATATCGTTCGTGCCAGGGCTAACGATAGTACCCAATCGCCCAGGCTGAAGTAGGTGGAACTGAATTCGAACCGGGAACCTATTGGCTCATGTTTATATATATAACGTAGGATCATACCGGAGGCAACAATTACTTCGGATGTAAATGTGGACAGACGTGTCAGGAGATTTGTTAGGGTTGAAGACACACAATGCAGGTGAATGTGAACAATCAAAAAAAAAATAATAATAATAAATCAATAAATAATCCGGATTTAACATGTAAAGGCTAAATTGTATACAGTGTAGTGTTGTGTTAGTTAGCTTAGTAATCCACTTTTAGATTTGATCGATACACTGAACAGTACTAAAGATTTTCTAGTATTTGAGTATAGCTTTGAATTACATAAAAAAAAAACAGAGACATTCAATAATAAATCAACAATGTGTTCCTATAACCTAACTGTCTCTGATATCCTAGTTAAGTTATCGGAACATAGGAACTTAACTAGAACTAGACTGACTGATTCCGTTTATTGATGAAAGTTGTGTGAATGCATTAGTATGATTATAAGTAATAAATTGCACTCCGAACGTAATCCAGTTATTTATACTGCATCAATTTGTGTTATATCAAAAAAGCTTATCTAAAGTTGAATTATACTCTACCGTCTGTCTGTCTGTTTTCGACATAGAACAACTTTGCACCGATGTGCAGCAGTTCGAGTCGCCACACTCCACTCCATGTAGCACACAAATCAAGAGAAGAAAGTAGAAGGAATGCAAAATAGAGACAGTAAACAGAGATAATATGAGGTAAGAAGAATAGTAATATCAAAGAACAATATAGTTTTATTAGATAAGTTACAAGGAGTGGATGCATCTGCGCCATTCAGAACGATTTTGAGCCACATCACAGATTGTCTCCAGCCTTCATTGGTGTTTACCGTCCCGAGGACCCCAACCAGTCGGGCAGTCTACACCTTCCTACGTTGCCGGCTTGAACTAACTGTCGTGGATTTCATTGACTGATGCCATGTCTCGGTTTGACCACCATTGGCTCTCTCTTTTCCAGCCTGACTCTATGTCAGCTAACATTGCCCGTCGAAGAAGGCGATGACTATACTCTACCGTAGTGCTCGAATTCTACCCTTGTGTTTAATGAATCCTGGAATATTGAGCAGTACTTTGAAAAACAGTTTAACAAGTCCATAAAATTAGTGTTTACTGCACGAAATCAGTTAAGACTGACTAACGTAAAGAATTAGAGTGCCGAAAAGAAGTTCCAAGTACTGAAGAACTATAAGGCACTCCATCTAGACAACCCCGCCCCCAAGATTCTTCTTGAGGATGAAGGTTAAACTCTAGTCAAGTATCCGGCACAATTATTTGGAAATGTATGGAAGATTAGGAAGGATCTACCTTTATTATGTCTGTCTCTATGAAACACCATAATGTAAATAACTATCACCAAAGTATCAGTGTATAACCAGTAGTGTCCATATTGGTTACTGACACACTTCGCAGACTGTAACACACACAAAGAACTTCTTTGCGAAAAGATGGTTGGATTTCATTCAAGTCGTGGATGAAATGGTCACATATTTCCTCTCAATTTGTCCCTCGAACAAACCCCCCTCTCTCATGAAAGCCAACAACTGTCGTATTCATAAATACTTCCTTGCTTTATTGGACTTGGCCGGGCTTTGGAACTATCCCTTTAGAGTTTGTTCATGTCTCAAAAGTTATGCACAAAAAAAAACACCTCATTTAGAGTGAAAAGATACAACGCATCGTCATATTATTGTGCTAGACCTGTAGGGTGACCATGACACCCGTCGATATCTTTTTTTAAATCATCACCTAAGAATTATTGACTGCAGTTTCCATAGAGTGACGAATAAGTTGTATCAGAAGCTATCAAGTGTGACTCAAAAATCTAAATGCTCAGATATAATTATATTAGCAGGTGGTTTTAGTATTTAAGAGGGAAAGGCACGCCAACCAGAAATATGTCTGTCTCTCTGTCTGGATTCAACATAGAACTTGGCACCGAAGTGCAACACTTCGAGTTGCCACGTTCCAAATAGCACACAAAGGTAGACAAGAAGATGGATGAGTGAAGAGAATCAATAGTTTTGACAAGCATTAGAGTGAAACAGAATGAGTAATGGTAGAAAGAAATATGAAAGATTACAGAAACTGAATACATCTGCGTAAGCCATTGACAACGATTTTGAGCCATGTCACCTATTGTCTCCAGCCATTGATTCCTAGAGTCCCGAAGGCGGGCCCCAACTCGGAAGTCTGCATCTCCCTACCTGACTCAGTTTAACTGTCAAGGATTTCATGGATTGATGAGGCCATGTTTTTGTTTGGTCACCACTTACTCTTTTCCAACCTGCACCTATATCAGCTAGTAGTGCCCGTCGGAGGAGGCGATGGTTAGGCATGCGCAGCACGTGACCTAGCCATCTCAATCTGTGCAACTTTATAACCTCGTCGATTGATTTTCCGTCTTTGCCCAACACTCTACGCCTAACGTCAACATTACTTACCTTATTATACCACCTAACGTGAGAGAGAGATCGCAGACATCTATGATCAAAAACAGTCAACCTTTTCATGTCTTCAACTCGTATTGGCCATGTTTCAGAGCCACAAAGAAGGACAAAGCGAACTGCTGAGCAGTACGCACGTCCCTTGGTTGATAGCCGGATGTCACGCCTACGCCAGAGATGGTGTAAGTTTACGAAAGCATATATATATATATATATATGTATATATATATGGGACTATCTGTGAAATATACGGATAACCAGCTGACTGTTTTGATCAACTACCAATAACTAATTTAAATAATCGCTTATTTTGACCAACAACAACTTCAAATACGATAGCAGATTTTGTCTCATCTGGTGACCGCCAACATTAAGCACACGATTTACAGAGAATGTTTTCCTTCAAATATAAGATAAGCAAGATCAGTATAAGAATGCTCTTCTTTCTGCGACACCTGCACTGAGTCCCTCCACGCATCCACTCCTTGTGACTTATGACTTCCAATGAAATTGTTTTGTTCTTCGTTATTACAATTCCTGTCTCACACCTCTGTTTAATGTCTATATTATGCATTTCTCCTACTTTCTTCTCTTCCTTTGTGTGCTGCATGGAGTGTGGCGACTTGAACTGCCGCACATCAGTGCAAAGTTCTATGTCGAAAACCGACCGACCGACCGACCGGATTAGTTCCCTAACACGTGACTAGATGTGGGTGGATGTAGGAAACAAGGCATGTGACCTTCACCTATCTATATTATAGACGAAGGTATTAAACCTATGACATTCAGTCAATTCTAACCTCATCTGGCGTTGTGTCAATCAGGTGCTTAAATTAATCAAACCAAATCGTTTAATCCCGAAAACAGACCATTATTCAACATAGATGACCTGAAATTGATATCGAACCATTGCCCTATCAATTTAAGTAATACATATGCATACATATCAACGATATCCATTTCAAGATATTCAATGCATTGATGTATTTGAACAGTCAGTACCAAGATGTAGGTCGGTTTATCGTTTGGTGCAGATAGCTGCATTGTATCATGACAGAAACAACCCAACAGTAGGATTTGTATTGTTGTCATATTTTTAAAATCGACAGGATGAAAATGTATCACAAAAAGGTGATCAAAAAATGATCAGCGACCAAGATTTCCTATCCCAGAACGTGAAGTCAGCTCACTAATGGGAGCCTGTTTTTCTGGAAAGTCTGCATACTTTTAGGCAGATAAGAGCAGAATGTGTCAAGATTTTGAAATGCTGGGTAAAACTGTCATACCAGATGGATGCTATTCTCCAGAACGAAAAACACAACAGCCCTTCATTCACAGTAATAACGCGGTTTTAACACACCACAAACTACAAATGATTAATCCCAGGTCCATTCCTTTCGGAGTAAACCAAAGCTACGATCGATCGTCTGTCGACATACGAGTGGCAGGTTGAACTACGCAGAAGTTTACCGAAGACTGGGAACCTTTACCTCACAGCCAAGAAGCGACCACAAAGAAATCAAATTGGATATTGGAGCACCAAGAGCAGATAGTATTCCATATTAGTTTGTAATCACACGACTTTGAAACTCAAGTTTCAAAGTTGTGTGATTACAATTGATATGATTATGAACAATAAATTTTGTTCGAAACGTCATCCAGTAGATAATACTGTTTCACTGTGTGATATATCTAATAAAAAAACTAATATGGAATTACTTACTACCACAGTGCCCAAGTTTTACACATATAAGCAGATAGTATGTTTTATACAGTATTTAAAAAGAGTAACAAAGTTTATAGGGTACTCAATATTGCAGAACACAGAACCAACGCTGATGTGACACTTCGAGAGTGAAGATATGAACTCAAAAATCGTTATAAAGAATTGTTTAACAACAATTAACACATTAATATGCAAGCCATCAGTATCCATATATACCCAAGATATTAAAATACACTGGGGTATTTCATTAAGAGTTTTAGATATTGTAGTATCCTATAAACATTACGGACACCGATAGCTAATATGTATCAAATAAATAAATAAGTCCAATAAATAAACTTCCAGATGACAAACTTACTTCGAAAGACCCGCAGTCCCAAGGTCAACCCAATCCAGAATCAGATTCAGATTATAAGGAAGGAAGGCTCTTATTGCCTATGTCAATCTTTGCAATATACATCTCTGCAAAGATCCAGTTTCTCTTTGAAAGCGTTCACCGATGAAGCTGATGTTACTGAATCAGGTAAGGAGTTCCAATATCCAGTCGTCGACCTGTGAGAGAATCCAAATTCCACACTATTTTATTCTACCTCAGTGTAAGCACCTTACTGTGTTGACTTCATAAATGTACCGTATAGGGAGAGAAAAGGTTTGAAAGCTCACTCCCTAAATCACCCTTGAATATATGGTAAGCCAAAATTAAGTCGCCTCTCCTCCTTCGATATGATAACGGGAAGAGATTTAAATGCTTTATCCTCTTATAATTAGGAAGTTGTGAGATACCACTAACTAATTTGGTTCCTACTTTCTGTACTCTTTCCAGAATATGTGCCCCCTTTTTGAAGCATGAACCCGCTGCTTGTATGTAGTATTCTAGATGAGGTCTGACATGTGTTGCATAGAGTACCTGGAACATACTCTTGTCTAATCGTTTGAAAACCCTTCGAAGTGCCTTTAGCATTCGAAAAGCCTTAGCTGAGGCTCCATTAAAATTTGCCGTTGTTTTTAAGTCATGGCTTACAATAATTCTTAAGTCATTTTGTCCCCAAACACCTGGCAGTTCTGTGTCCTCCAGGGAGTACGACGTGTAAGACTTCTGACCTCAGTGCGTTACCGCGCTTTTCTTGGAATTAATTTCCAGACTCCAAAGGTTAGCCCATTCGCTATTTACTAATCGTTTTGTAGTACCAACCTATCACCGTTACTATTTACGGTTTTCCATATCTTACTATCGTCCGCAAATAGTGAAGAAGATGAGGTGAGAATTTTCGGCACTTTATTACGTATAATAGGAATAGCTGGGGGCCAAGTACAGTTCCCTGAGGTACTCCACTTGGTTCTGCCTTTCACATTGATAGTACACCATTAACTCTTACCTTCTGCCTTCTATCCATCAGGTAGTCACTAAACCACTCACATAGGCATTGGTCTAGTCAGAAACCTTTAAGTTTACTAAGGAAACCTAAGTGGGATACTTTATCGAATGCCTTACTGAGATCGATAGAGACAACGTCCAGTAGATGGTTTTTATCCCTGGCCTCGACCCAATCATCCCTAGCTAACAGTAAGTTTACCAAGCAGGATCGTCCCGTTCGGAATCCATGCTGTTCCACCGCCAGTAAGCCATGTTTCTCCAAATGAGCTAAGGGCTGATCCCTTGTGAGTGTTTCTAACACCTTTGCTATAACGCAGGTCAGACTTACAGGCCGGTAGTTAGATACTAACTGCCTGTTCCCCTCTTTGAAGATGGGGCTTATAAAAGCATCTTTAAAATTCACATAATGGTATACCCACTAACTGGGTATTGGTTTTCAGGAGAACCAAACACACTTATCCCTGCCTCTTGCGAGACGGGATCAAGATGCAGTTTCATCCTGTGGCGCAACCACTCGAGAGCCCTCTCCCTCGATGGAAGGTGATCCTGTATATAGTGCAAGTAGTTTGTCTTAAAGTGGCTGTTTGATTGAGAAAGCTATCTGTAAGTATTATTACACC